GCTTTGCTGGTGATATTTATGATCTTTGAGTGTGAGGAAAGCCATTTTTACAGCAATGTTTCCCCTTAATTTTAAAGTTGAGACTAAAAGCTTTCCTAGCTTTTCTACAGCTGCACTCTGTGTGAGCGTTTCAGTCATTTGTAAGAAAGTCCGTGGGGGATATATATTAAAATTACTTATTTAAGTTACCCCCTTATTTTTCACAGACTGTTATTATTGGGCGTATGTGGTGAAAGCAGAGACGAAAGGGCTAGTGGCGAAAATAATATTTATTAAAGTGTATTTTACCGTTTCTCAAACATGCCCCATCGATGATCCTGACGTCATCTAAAGCAATATCTCCTGTATTACCACTTCCTGCAATTCCTTCAAACACTATCTGGAAGGAAGTCTTTGTTTCAACTGACAGCTTTCCAAGTCGCCAGAAGTTTCCTTGATTGTTGCTATTTACCCACGCAGGTGCACCAACAGTACTTTCTGTATTGACTATGTACACATTCAATGTGTTCAATGTGTTCACCCTTTCCCCGTACATGTGGTAAAACCACTTGATGCATGTGCCATTTGTTGCAGGATACGATGTTGTCCAAAGACGAGCTGTTTTGTTGTATCGCCCATATGAATCTTTGACGTACATGTAGGAACCTATAGGCAAATGATAAAATAAAAGTTTTGGTTTAAGAGATATTGTTGTTCTATCTCTTTGTCGTTTACCTTATTTTATTTCGTTTTTAGTTTTATAAATATTTTCATTAAGAATTTACAAATTTTATTTAGAAATTTAAATTCATGTTAATTTTTTATTACCTTGTAATGTTCCGTAGGTGTGGTCATACGCAGGACCAGCATCATATATGTATGTTGATCCAGATGCTCTTATCCAATCCAAATCATCATCTTCATCTTGTACAAAGTAACAGATGTGTGGATCCTCAAAATCACATTGGTTTTGTGCTGAAACAAAAATCCCAAGACAAAATTAATTTTTTAATATTTATTCTATTAGCCTACATTTATGCATATTATTTACAATCTTTTCAGAAACTGATCATGTTGTATACATTTTTAATCATGTTCTGCACATTAGGTTTATTATTATATTTAGCTCAATACGTAATGCACATTATTTATCTGTAAAAACTTACATATATTGCAAGTTGGTCCAAAAAAACCAGGCATACACTGACAGTTCTCTATTCCGTAATCCGAGACACAGACTCCGCCGTTCAAGCAGTCAATATCGCAAGTTTCTTCAATTAGAATTAAACATTAATTAGTGACATACTCTGTTCGTATTAAAATATCCTCATCGCTCATCACAATACTAATTGTATAAAATTATTATTGTTATGAAAATCGCATTTGTCTTTATATATACATTGATTGATATACATTGATTATGTAAGCGATAGATTATTGGCGGTGCCAATTGTGGAATAGAAAAATTAATGTAGGAATATAATAGTAGTTCTATATGTATATGTTTAAATTATATGATATGATATGATAACTATTAAATACAGTTTAGAAATCAAGGAACATAATATAATGTACATACGTCAAAATAATATAAATTTATATAGCATAATTAGATACTTTATTCATAGTGAATTATTGCATATGAAGGCTTTGATATATATATATATATATATATATAAAATACATAGTGATCAGAATTATCAATGAAATTGATGCAATTGACGCTGTTGCCTCGGTTATACATACATACAGACATGAAAGTACTGCAAGAAACTTTGACTTAATTGAGACATTGAAATGTATTAGTACAAAATTTTCGGTAGCACCTGCTACCTTCATCAGCGTACGAGTATCTCATGATGAATGTAGCAGTGATTATAGTGGCGCTATATAAGTGATTATACAAGGCGCTGCCATCATTATTTCCTTGGTTACTGGATACTGAATTGGCAGATCTGCACATTGTGCAACTTTTTCTGCTGGAGAGTATCCCTGGTTATTGCTGCTTGAACGTGCTCTACCCATACATTTATTTTATTTATTTTATTCATTTGGCATGACGGCTCAGGAGTCACAAAAGTGGAAAATCCACTGTCGCCTGAAGGACGTGCGGCTCCCAACACACAAATTACCAAAAACAAAATAAATATATAAACAGTAAAAAACTAAGATTTACAATAGAACATTTTTTTGAGTTTTGCCTTAAATGATTAAAAATTATCACAAACTAAAGAACTCTTGATATCTTCCGGTAACAAATTCCAAAGTCTAACAAAACGAGTTGCTAAAGAAACTTTGACATGTCATATATGTCATACCATCCTACAAGGTACTGATTTACTATTGGAAAGTTCAACGCCTAAGTAGGGTATAGACTCCCAAATGTTAAGTGCAATTATTCAAAAACAGATATTGGTTTTGCCAAGTTTTAGGGTAAGTAATTAGAGAACAAAAAGAATCAGACATATTAATATATTTTATCCCCGCCGTAACCCCAAGTAATGTTAAACATGTCGTCTAAATTTTTCTTAGCCAATGTTGAGTAAATAATAATATCTGCTTTGTCTTCAGAGATTCCGGTGTGCTTTCGTGCGTACTAGATATCGTATGTTAGCAAAATTTGTGATAGAACTAAAGATAAATAGAGTTCCAAAATGTTAAAAGAGATAGACTTCTTGGTTTGTGCTAGATGGGTTTAAATCATCAGTGACAGAAATGGTGTTTTTCCATTTGTACATTTGTGTTTTTGTGAGCCTGTCATGGTTTATCCAGTCGAGAATGGTCTTGCCTGTGATTTTTAATGGGTTTATGAGTCTACAGTTTGGTTTGATGCCCCGGCGAGGAGTCAGATTTCCCCGACGAAAGCAAAGAGGGCGTGGTCGAGCTTCGATTAAAAGGTTTCGAAAGTGGTCCTGGAGGCGAAGCCCCGGCCGAAAATTTTGACAATTTAGGGGTTTCAAATGCTTATTTAATCAATTTTAGAGTCTACTAATATGCAGAAAATACATATAATTTTTTTTCTCCCCGCCGAATTGTGCTTTTTCTCCCCGACGGAGGGGGGAGGGGGCAGCTCTCCCCGACGGGGGCGCTGGCCCCTCCGGCCCCCCCTCGCTGGTGCCACCCCTGGAGTTCGTGTTAGCCACGTTAGAGCTGAGTTCGTGTTAGCCACGTTAGAGCCGAGTTCGTGTTAGCCACGTTAGAAGTGCTGTGTTCGTGTTAGCCACGTTAAAAGAGCTGTGTTCGTGTTAGCAACGTTATAAGAACTGTGTTCGTGTCAGCCACGTTATAAGAGCTGTGTTCGTGTTAGCCACGTTTAAGAGCTGCGTTCATGTTAGCCACGTTATAAGAGCTGTGTTCGTGTTAGCCACGTTATAAGCGCTGAGTATTATTCTTATTATTCTTATATTTGTTTATTATTATTATTATTGTTATAACCAGTTATTATTGCATTGCCTTGAAGTGTTGATTGTAAATTGTTAAAGTGATAGATAGGCCTAATTGATAGCCTTGCAAGCAAAATTGTCTTTATATGCAATACTGAATATTTGTTTGTACTGTTTGATGGTGATAGACAGAATTGACTATCGCAATTTGTAATCTAATGATCTATTATTCTATGTTGATGCTATGGTTAACTGTATTGTTGAAACTATTACTAGTAAGCTGTGACAATAGTAGCATCATTATTCTTGATATATTATATATTATTGGAGATCAATGTCTAAATTAATAATAATGAGCTTAGTAGTTATTATTGTTGTAAATCGTTATACATTGATATATATATATATACTGTCTCTTTTATATATATAAATAATATGTATATATATATATATATATATTATATATATATAATATATATATATATATATAATTTTTAATTATCTGTCGGTGAGGGAATTAAAACCTGTACTTACTAAAATGAACTTATGGTTAGAGATACAATGGTTGGCTTGGTTAAAATGCTTAGCTACAGGAAAGCCTAGTGTATTGTCTCTAATAGATTTTTTATGATTATTGCATCATAGTCTAAATTTGCAACCAGTTTCCCCGACATATATACAGGTAGTATCCATACATTGGGTACACAAAATAAGATATATGACATTTGAGGCGTTGCAAGTGAGCGATTGTGGGTGTATGATTAAGTGGCGGATGTTGATGGTGTCGTCGGTAATAAGAAGCTTACAAATTTGGCATCGTGAATTACCACAAGGGTGATTACCAAATTTAGGGGTGATAGTGGGAAGTTTAGATGGAGTTAGTAGTGAATTAAGGTTAGGAGGTTGTCAGTATGCTATGAGGGGTGGTGATTTGAGTGCTTCTGAATTTGATGAAGTGCAGTCAGAAAGAATGCGAAAATCTTGGGTGATAGTTTTGGCGAGATGTTGGATTCGGGGGTTGTAGTCGAGGACAAGGAGTATGCGAATAGAATTCGACTTGGCTTTATATTCAAGGAGTTGCTGGCGTGATTTAGACGAGGCCTTATTAATTAATGGTTTGATCAGTTTCATGGGAAAATTGCTGAGTCTTAATTTGTGGATGAGAGTGTTAATATGTTTATCGAATTCGGTATTGGTGGAGCAAATTCGTTTTATTCTGAGCGCCTGACTATACATTATGGATTTTTTGAGTATTAGGGATGAGTTGAGATATCTGTGGTTGTCTGTGGGCTTGGTGTAAACTGTTGTTGTGACTTCATTCTCTTTTAAACCAACTGATACATCTAAAAATGGGATTTCTGAGTAAGAGTTTTCCGTGGTGAACTTGATGCTGTGATGTGAGTTATTGATGTGGGAGATGAATGAGTTGAGTGTGTCAGATCCATGTGGCCAAATAAAGAAGATGTCATCGATATAGAAAAAAAAATAAAATAAAATAGAGGTTGGAGGGGGTATGTGTAGATGTTTTTGTTTTCAAAATAGTCCATGAAAATGTTGGCGTACGAGGGGGCCATTTTAGTACCCATAGCTGTGCCTTTAATTTGGCGATAGTTAGAATTATTAAATTTAGTATTATTGTGGGTTAGAATAAAGTCGATTAGTGAAATAAGATCAGATGTGTAAGGTGTAGGATAAAATTCATTAAGAAAGAATTTGCAAGCATCTAGACCTTCATTATGGGGGATGTTTAAAGTATAAAGGCCAGTGACACCAGTAGAGTGTTATCTGGTAAGTGTGTTATCTCTTGGAGTTTGCGAAGAAAGTGCGTGGTGTCTTGTATGTGACTTTTAATGTTCGGGAGTAGTGGGTTGAGGATACTGTCAATAAAACCCGAAATGTGTTCGGTAAGAGAATTAATACCCGAAATGATAGATCTTCCTGGCGTGGTGATATGGAGGTCTTTGGCAAGTGTGAAAATGTTGGCTGGGCTCAATTTGGCGGAATCAATTGTGTCTTGTAGGTTAGGTGTTGAATTAATTGTATCAGTTGGTTTAAAAGAGAATGAAGTTAAACAACAGTTTACACCAAGCCCACAGACAACCACAGATATCTCAACTTCAATAGCGCTCATCCCATAAAACTAAAAAAATCCATAATATATAGTCAGGCGCTCAGAATAAAACGAATTTGCTCCACCAATACCGAATTCGATAAACATACACTCTCATCCACAAATTAAGACTCAGCAATTTCCCCATGAAACTGATCAAACCATTAATTATTAAGGTCTCGTCTAAATCATGAATCACTAATTCTATTCGCATACCCCTTGTCCTCGACTACAACCCCCGAATCCAACATCTCGCCAAAACTATCACCCAAGATTTTCGCATTCTATCTGACTGCACTTCACCAGATTCAGAAGCACTCAAATCACCACCTGTCATAGCATACCGACAACCTCCTAACCTTAATTCACTACTAACTTCTTCCCACTATCACCCCTAAATTTGGTAATCACCCTTCTGGTAATTCACGATGCCAAATTTGTAAGCTTCTTATTACCGACAACACCATCAACATCCGCCACTTAACCATACACCCACCATCGCTCACTTGCAACGCCTCAAATGTCATATATCTTATTTGGTGTACCCAGTGTATGGATACTATATACGTCGGGGAAACTGGTTGCAAATTTAGACTAAGATGCAATAATCATAAAAATCTAATTAGAGACAATACACTAGGCTTTCCTGTAGCTAAGCATTGTAACTAAGACAACCATTGTATCTCTAACCTTAAGTTCATTTTAGTAAGTACAGGTTTTAATTCCCTCACCGACAGACGTTGTTGCGAATTGAAATGGATCTTAAAATTAAATACTCACAAAAATGGCGTAAATAAAGATTTAGGATTTCTCACAGATTAAATTTTTTATTAATCAATGCATTCATCCATCTTGATACATTTTATTCATCCTTTATATACTATTAACTTGTTATATTTCATTTTCATTGGCTCAGGCTAGTGAGATCATAGGCCTACATTCGGCTGATTAGCCCTTTCGTTTATCTTTATTTTCTTTGTTGTTACCGCCCTTTATAATCTGGTCTAATTATACATATCATTTATAATTTATCTTAGTCACTGATATACTATTTATCCCCTACTGCTAGTTTGTAAATCTTTTTTAATCATATGTGTTATCGCTGAGGAAGTACACAGGCGTGCTCAAAATATTCGAAATAAAAAATTATCTTATGTCTATTATGTCAACATATACGACTCTACTTTGTGCATTCGTACTCGTTTTATATAATCAAGACATATATATATATATTATTGTAGATCGATGTGTAATATAATAATAGTGAGCATAACTGTTTAGTAATTGTTGTTGTTGTGAACTATTCGATTAGCATACACTGATATATTATATATTATTGGAGATCAATGTGTAGTTTATTGATAATGAGCGCAATTAGTTAAATATCGTTGCTATGAGTTGTTTATGAATGACAAGTTAATGGTAACATTTTATTGTTATTATTATGGATATTATATAATTGGAGATCGTTGTCCAGTATATTAATGGTAAAGTGCACAACTAATTAATTATGCGATACAAAGTATTATGAGTGTAAATTGCGATAGTTAGATGGACTAATTGTTAATGTGATGTGTTGTGGTTAATAAAGTTTAATTCCGTGTCGTAACTTATTGCCAAGGTCCTGTCTCCGTTTTGGAATTCTGGAGGAACTTGTGACACCAATTTCAAGCTTTGTAGCAATTGATTTGGTTGCGTTGTTAATTTTGTGAGTGCTGCCTTCTTTTCTCTTCTTTTATGATATGATGTAGTGATATTTTCATATATGAGTTTAATCGCACTACACCTAGTTACTTTTTAGAAGTTTGTTGTTTATCAGTAGTGTTGGATGAGTTCATTTGCTTTGCTGGTGATATTTACGATCTTTGAGCATGAGGAATGCCCTTTTTTTCAGCAATGTTTCCCATGTTTTTAAAGTCAGACTATAAGATTTCCTAGCTTTTCTACACCTCCACTCTGTGTAAGTGTTTCAGTCATTTGTAAGAAAGTCTGTGGGGGATATATATTAAAATTACTTATTTAACTTACTCCCTTATTTTTCACAGACTGTCATTATAGGGCGTAGATGGTGAAAGCAGAGACAAAAGGGCTAGTGGCGAAAATAATATTTATTAAAGTGTATTTTACCGTTTCTCAAACATGCCCCATCGATGATCCTGACGTCGTCTAAAGCAATATCTCCTGTATTACCACTTCCTACAATTCCTTCAAACACTATCTGGAAGGCACTCTTTGTTTCAACTGACAATTTTCCAAGTCGCCAAATGTTTCCTTGATTGTTCCTATTTGTCCACGCAGGTGCACCAACGGTACCTTCCTTATTGACTAGATACACATTCATTGTGTTCGCTGTAGCCCCGTACATGTGGTAAAACCACATGACGCATGTGCCATTTGTTGCAGGATATGACAATGTCCAAAGACGAGCGGTTTGGTTGTATCGCCCATATGAAGTTTCGATGTACATGTAAGAACCTGTAGGCAAATGACAAAATAAATGTTTTGGTTTAAGAGATATTGTTGTAATATCTCTTTGAAGTTTATTTTATTTATTTCGTTTGTAGTTTTAAAAATATTTTCATTAAGAACTTACAATTTCATTTAGGAAATTTAAATTCATGTCAGCTTTTTAATACCTTGTAATGTTCCGTAGGTGTGGTCATAAGCAGGGCCAGTAGCAGATGTGCGTGTTGATCCAGATGTTCTTATCCAATCAAAATCATCATATTTATCTTGTTCAAAGTAACAGATGTGTGGATCTTCAAAATCACATTGGTTTTTTGCTGAAACAAAAATTCCAAGACAAAATTAATTAACTGATTGTAATTGCATTGGTTAACACAGTTACAGGAACCCGAAGTACAATAATTCGTAACTTTGTAGAAAAACATCTTATCTTAAATTTGCAAAAAAATTCAATACTAAAAAAAAAACACTTTCTAAATTTCACTCACATTAAGTCAAACCGGTATCCACAACACATTGTTTCATAATGTTATTGGTATATATTACCAAAAATATTTTTGTTTTGAAACTTAAAACTTTACATTACTATAATTAGCTTCTTAAAAATTGTATTATTGGTTCATGCAATTTCTCGTTTGAACTAAAGACGACACCTAAACACCTTAAAGATTTACAATTTCAATTACATTTTATTTTTTAATTTCATTTTCTTTAATAAATATCTTCTTTTCTGACTACAATAATATTATTATTTTTCCAAGTTTTACAGCACATAGCCAAAGATTTTAAGGTAAATGATTCAAACCATGTCATTTAATAATGCAAGATTACTTATATAAATTTAAAATGGTTAGATAATAAATCCCTAGTCTCTATACTATTTTTTGTTTAATAATAATAATAATAATAATAATAATAATAATAATAATAATAATAATAATAATAATAAATTGTTAATTTTTATAGCGCAAATAAACGAGGTCTCTATTCGCCCAACAATATTGTGGACAAGAAAAAATAAAAAAATAAAAAAATAGAAAATAAAATCAATAAACACCTAGCTAGTACCCAAACCGAAGTATGGGGTTATACCATCACCGGCATCTGGAGATCTGTGTTTATGTACTCCAGTTAGCATCAGTTAAGTCTTGATCTTTACTGGGATCATTAGTAAAATAAATAATAGAATAAGAAGAATATACATTATCTCAGTTTCAAACTGAAACTTAGTACTGATGTTGACATTGATTTTTTAATATTCATTCTATTAGCCTAGATTTATGCATAATATTTACAGTCTTTTCAGAAACTGATCATGTTGTATACATTTTTAACCATTTTCTGCACACTAGGTTAAGTATTATATTTACCTCAATACGTAATGCACATTATTTATCACTGTAAAAACTTACATATATTGCAAGTTGGTCCAAAAAAACCAGACACACACTGACAGTTCTCGTTTCCGTAATCCGAGACACAGACTCCGCCGTTCAAGCAGTCAACATCGCAAGTTTCTTCAATTAGAAATTGAACATTAATTAGTGACATACTCTGTTTGTATTAAAATAACCTCATTGCTCATCACAATACTTATTGTATAAAATTATTATTGTTATGAAAATCGCATTTGTCTTTATATATACAATGATTGATATACATTGATTATGTAAGCGATAGATTATTGGCGATGCTTTTGAGCCAGCTTTATACTAAGACTTTTGAAAATTGATGTAGAATATAATTTAGTTCTATACGTATATGTTTAAATTATATAACGCATGATATGATGACTATTAAATACAGCTTAGAGATCAAGGAACATAATGTAATGTACATACGTAGAAATAATATATATTTATATAGCATATGCCCGCTATACCATGCCTATACCAACTATAAGAAGTTACAACACTCAAAGCATGAAGCAGCCAAATGCTAAACATCATAAAAATGAAGGATGAGAAGTGCATTAAAGATTTCGGGGAAGTATCCAATCAAAAGTATGAACAAGTAGAATTGATCAATGAAAATACTGTATATAACAGATGTGGTATCATCTGAGAGCAGTGATGTATAACTCAGCACTAGAAAGCTTTGGAAAGAAAGCAAGACGTGATGAAGAATGGTTTCAAACCTATTCACCTCAGCTCGAACCTTCGATCAATGCAAAGAGGAATGCCTATACCAACTATAACAGGCATGCAACTCGCCAGAACCTTCAAATATTATTACAAGGCAAAGTGTGACCTGCAAAGAACTTCTCGGCATTATGCTAACTTATATTGGACAAACATGTGAAGGAATATAGCTGCTGATAACAGAGTGTTACGACACACTTCAGACCAGAAGGAATCACACAAACAGGCAACTGATAAAATTTAACACAATTTATTATAGTGGGTACTTTCCCTTTTCATGAAAATACTTCCAGCAAAGAAGAACACTAGATTTAAACAATTACGGAGTACCGATGGCAAATGACTAAGTTATACAATTTACCTAAGTCACCACTGAAATTTATACATCTAGGCATAAGTTCATACCAAGCAAATTTACAGGTGATGAGGTGACTTGATCAAGTTCTGATTAATCCGAATGTAATTGTCCGCTAAAAATTCCACTAGTGATCCAAGTTCCCAAATGTCCTTTGAGAATTCCACATAAAACTAGATGTAATATCAGATGATGATTAGCTAGGCCTAGGATTCCATCACCGATCCTAAAATAGCCTATTCTCACCTACAAGCGTATCGTCCCCGCACTAGCCAGCGTTACCAACCTTTCACGAGAAGATTATCAAAACAAAAACAAACTCCCTTCTCCTGGGGAATTCTGTAACTCTTTTTGGTTGCAAAAGCCCTTCTTGTCCTTCTAGAACATTCTAGGGTTTACTGTCGCTAATTACAACTCATCACCGAGCCAGTCATTACTTTTCGTCAACCAAGACCCCTCGCATCTCCTAATTCCGCTCGCTTCTTCCACAAAGTTCTAAAAAAAATTCTCACCTCACTCATTGATGTCAGTGACCTGGGGTCACTATTTTGTGACATACTTTTAGAACAGAAATCCTTTGACTAAAACAAATCAAATAGCAAATATTCTCTACACCTTCTAACTATAAATGTTAGGGTATAATACCTTATAGGCCATCATCACAGGAGATGCAAGGAACATGTATGATGGTATTCGAAAAGCGCTTGGACCAAGGATAGTGAAGGTACCACCATTGAAAGCCTCCGATGGATCTATGCTGATAGTCAAGATCAATCAACTGGAAAGATGAGAAGAACACTACATGGACATTTATTCCAGGGATGCTCCAATCGACAAGAGAGCTTTAGATGAAATACCTCGCCTCGAGCAAATGCATCATCTTGACTCAGAGCCTAATATTGAAGAACTCAGCAGGGCTTTAGACACGTACCTTGTTTAACAACCGAGCACCAGGGACAGATGGTATACCATCAGAACTATTGAAAGCTGCTAAAAATGCTTTAATACTACTGTATTCAATCTACTAATACAGTGCTGGAGGACTGGAGACATTCCACCAGATATGAGAGATGCTCTTATTGTTAATCTATAAGAACAAAGGTGATTGATCAGACTGTAACAATTACAGAGGAATCTCACTCTTGAATATAACTGGAAAAGCAATCGCAAAGGTCATAGCACAACGATTACAACATGTTGCTGAGTGCATATACCCAGAATCCCAGTGCGGTTTTCGTGCGAAAAGATCCACTAATGACATGATATTTTCTTTGAGACAACTATAGGAGAAGTGTGAGAACAAAGAAAACCCCTATATATTGCCTTTGTGGATCTTACAAAGGTCTTTGATATGGTGAATAGGGAAGGCCTCTGGATGATTCTTGAAAAAATTGGTTGTCCTCAAAAGCTCCTTCGGTTAATTAGGCTTTCATAGTATATGCATGGATATATAAAATCAGAACAAAACGTATCTAAGGGTTTTAACATCAGAAACGGATGCAAGCAGGGAGACGTTCTAGCTCCTGTTATTTGGAACGTACTTTGCTGTGATTTTACAGTATTCATTCAAAGAAGTGAGGGAGGGTATTTACCTGCACACACGTTCAACAGGAAAACTCTTCAACCTTTCAAGACTGAAGTTTAAAACCAAAATTTCTACAGTCCTTGTTAGAGAACTGTTGTTTGCTGACGATGCAGGACTTATCTCACACTCCAATAGTGGACTGCAACAACTGATCACTTGCTTCAAAAATGCATGTTGAAAATTCTCCTTGATGGTCAGCTTAAATAAGACAGTGGTAATGTCACAAGGGCCTGAAGATCCGCCATAATAAGGATGAATGACACATACCTGGAGGTTGCTAACAAGTTTAGCTCCTTAGGCTCAACAATATCACGTAATCTTTCTCTTGATGAAGAACTGAATACACGTACTGTATAGGGAAGGCTGCGACAACATTTGGTAGACTGACTGAATGTGCCTGGACTAACAACAAATTAACCTTAGCCACAAGAATAACCATATCAAGCATATGTGCAAAGTGTATTACTCTAAGGAAGTGAGACATGGACCTTATATTCCAGTCAAGAGAAGAAACTAAACAACTTCCACTTCAGGTGTTTACGTCGAATCCTGAAACTGAAATGGCAAGACAAGGTCACAAATGCAGAAGTTTTGAGAAGAACAAAGTCACGAAGTATGTTTGCAATCATCAAACAGAAAAGATTGACATGGCATGGACATGTACATCTGTCTCTTATACACATCTAGATGTGTATAAGAGACAGGTATGATGGTATTCGAAAAGCGCTTGGACCAAGGATAGTGAAGGTATCACCATTGAAAGCCTCCGATGGATCCATGCTGATAGACAAGATCAATCAACTGGAAAGATGGGAAGAACACTACATGGACATTTATTCCAGGGATGCTCCAATCGACAAGAAAGCTTTAGATGAAATACCTCGCCTCGAGCAAATGCATCTTGACTCAGAGCCTGATATTGAATCACTCTGCAGGGCTATAGACACCTTGTCTAACAACCGAGCACCAGGGACAGATGGTATACCATCAGAACTATTGGAAGCTGCTAAAAATGCTCTGATACTACCTGTATTCAATCTACTAATACAGTGCTGGAGGACAGGAGACATTACACAAGATGAGAGATGCTCTTATTGTTAATATTTATAAAAACAAAGGTGATCGATCAGACTGTAACAATAATATAGGAATCTCACTCTTGAATATAACTGGAAAAGCAATAACATGTGGTAAAACCACATGACGCATGTGCCGTTTGTTGCGGGATATGACGATGTCCAAAGACGTGCAGTTTCGTTGTTGTATCGCGGATATGAAGTTTCGATATACATGTAGGAACCTGTAGGCAATTGATAAAATAAATGTTATGGTTTAAGAGATATTGTTGTTTATCTCTTTTTAGTATATTTTATTTTTTAATTTTAGAAATATTTTTATCAAGAATTTACAATTTCATTTAGGAAATATAAATTCATGTCAGCTTTTTAATACCTTGTAATGTTCCGTAGGTGTGGTCATACTTAGGGCCAGTACCAGATGTGGATGTTGATCCAGATGTTCTTATCCAATCAAAATCATCAAATTCATCTTGTTCAAAGTAACAGATGTATGTATCCTCGAAATCACATTTGGTTTGCGCTTCAGAAAGAAAAAAAAGTAACTGCAGTTACGTAGTCTTAATAATTCATGACTTTATTAGTAAAAAACTTTTATACTTCAATATACCAATAATTTTTGGCAATGTGTTTAATCATATTCTTATTTTATACCTAAAGAATTCGGAATGAAATTTTCAAATAATTAAAAAAAAACATGAACTTTACAATTTTACTTGTATAAAGTCGAACTGGCCTTCAACATACTTACATATGTTAATGGTAAACTACACAAAATTTTGTTTTCATATTTTCAATAATATATTACATAATATTTGCTTCTTTAACATTAGGTGTAATTTTTTAAATCTGGGTCCAACAGGTTAGCAATTGCATTAATTTTGTTTATAAGTGATATCTTAGTTAAAATCAAGTATTCTTTTTTGGGGGTCAAATCGCAATACACAAACTAAGAATTCGAATGTGTGAAAAAAGGCCCCACGGCTTCCAGCGTCCGGGGTCCTAGGGCCTAAATGGCTGCCCAGAGGGGCCTTCGGCCTGTACCTTACGCCACGTAGTGGCAATAACAGTATCTTGTATGGTAACAGCAATCAAAGGGCAAATCATTTCCTATAAGAGAATGATTTCCAATATATTGCAATAGGCTATAGAAGCCTTCGTTATATTCTATAATCTGGATGGTAAGTCCATATCAGCACCTTATTTGTGGAGGACCTTCAGTACTACAACTATTGAACTATAATAAAAGTAAACATATTAAACATAATAAACATTTTTTATAATTTGTATTTCCTTTTTTTTCTTCCAAAAGAACATTTCACTATACGTGTGTACAGGATCAGAAGACGGGAAGTTCACACGGGACGACTACAGTAGTTGAGATATAAATTTTCTATAATAAATTTTATTGAAAGAATATCAAATTTTCCTGAAACAATTCTTGACATAAGAATCAAAATGTTTAGATGAAAGTTAAAGATGATGCTGTATTTTTTAAAATCGAATGTGCCATTGAATGAAGACTGCAAACATTTAAAGTTTAGGTAAACAATTTTTTTTAAAGTTCTCTGCTTTGTGGTTTAGGGTACTATTAAAATTCCTTTAAAGAGGTACACTGGTAAATTTAAAAATTCATATGGCCTCGTTAGGCAGACACATCAAGTACTTTTGCTAAATATTAAGTGAACACTTGGCGTGCCGTGTGTTCATTTAATAGTTAGCAAAATTGGCATGGGTTTTTTCGTTATATATTTATATAAATTTTTATATAATATATATTTTTTATATAATATATATTTTATATAATATAATATTATATATAATATATACTTTTTATATAATATATAATATATTATATAATATATGATTTTTTATATAATATATGATTTTTTATATATATAATTTTTATATAATATATAATATTTTATATAATATATATTATTTTATATAATATATAACTTTTTATATAATATAAAATATATATTATATAAAAAAATTATATATTATATAAATTATTATTTATTATATAAAATATTATATATTATATAAAAAAATTATGTATTATATAAATTATTATTTATTATATAAAATATTATATAAATATATAACGTAAAAAACCACGTCAATTTTTGCTAAATAATTAGTGAACACATGGCGCCTCATACTCTACTGCAATAAAACAATAAATGCAACTTTAATAACAGTTATTCTACACAATATTATCTTCATGTACCATATCTTAGACTGCTTAGAAGGGATCTCTACTGCAAGAAACACACTTGTCCGTTAACAGCTCGTAACAAGTGTGTCTGTCTTTTTATCTAATCTTTACTTTCTGTTTCTAAAATAAATTAAAAGACAATCAATACTGTAAATATTTACAATATTACGGATAACCTACATTAAATACAAACATTGTAATATGTTTAATGACATCTGTTGGATATGTGTTCTCATAATCAGGATTACTGTTATCCTATATAGCGCCCTCTCTTTGTTTT